CGTATCAGATCCCATAGAACTGAAGTTACAGACAGTTGTGGGTTGCCACGTGAGTATTGGGAATCAACGTAGGTCCTCTAGAAGAATAGCAAGTGCTATTAACCCCTGAGGCATCTCTCCAGCCCCTGAGGTTGATTCTTATTTTTATTGTTGTCGTCGTTGTTGTGACAGGGTCTCTTTATGTAGCTCTAGTTGTCCTGGAACTCGCTATGTAGACCGGGGCTGCCTGGAATTCAGAGATCTGGTTGCTCCTGCCCCCTGAGGTCTGGGATTAAAGGCAGGTACTATCATACCCAACTCCGATGTGGATTTTTCTTATTTCTATTTTTGAGGAGTAAGGATTGGAAAATGTCGTGCATTTATTTATCCATTTGATGAGTATTTAATCTTGTATGCAAGACATATATCGTGGTAAAGAAAGATGATTTTTAAAAATCTGTCCCAGTAAAGTTCGCATTCCAGTTGTCACCAAGTAGACCCTGGGACAGTCAGTGGCCTTCCTTTTGCCTTCTACTAGACCTCTGACACAGTTTCTAGTAAGTGGCCAGCCCTTTTAATAATAACAGTAATTTTGAGGAAGGAGCAAAATACAGACCCATGACTCAGGGAATGGAAGTTCTCAAGACAGCTGAGTAGCTCTGAGGCCACTCACCAGCCACATGCCTTAGCCAAACACCCAGTCTGTGGTTGACAATAGTGTCAGCTCTGTGCCTGGGGGAGCCGCTGTGAAAACGGCGGGGCCCAACACAATGCAGGTGAAAGTGCTTATAAAATCACTTGTGCAACGTTTGACATAGTATATGTATGGTTCCAGGTAATTATATAAATACAGAGCTATTTAAAAAGTAATGACCCTTTCAGCCAGTTCTGTGACATTTCCAGAGATCGCAGAAATGCTGTAGTCCTGTTCTGGATGGATGAGTCAGCATTTAGTTTGTTGACTTGACGAGAAGTATACATACAGTTCAGTTGCCCTTTGAAACATTTCGTTTCAGCCAGCAGCAGCAGGGCCCAAACCAGCACACCCAGACACAGTGGGAGTCACTTCTCAGAGCTGACATCACTTGGGGAGGAAATAAGTGGACATTTTCTCATTCCTTCATTAAACAAATATTTACTGGTTGCTTGCTCCGGTTTCTTCATTGCTATGCCCTTGGTGTCCAGAATAATACCCCTCCCTGAAGCAGGTTGGATTCTAATAGGGGAGGTAATTAATATAGAGAGATGTGTTTGTGTTAGGTAGTAAGTGCTACCAGGAAAAAGCATGATGGGGCTATGGATGCTGGGATGGAGGGAGGGAGGGAGATAATTAAGACCAGCTGTCTCAACAAACAAACCCTGCTATTTCAGTGGCTTAGCCCAGCCAAAGCTTTCTCAAAGTACTGGTGAGAGTGGAGGCTCAGGGATTTGGCCCACAGAGCTTCTCACTTCTGAGTCTTCAAAGTAGTGAAAAGAAGCAGGCTGATTCTGCATGAGGCAAAGGTGCTGCGAGTCAGACCTTTGCGAGCGGGACCTCTAGGGTAGGTGAGGCCAAAGCAAAAGAACAGCAAAGGCAAAATCCAGGCGTCTCAGGAAGAGTAAAGAAACCAGCACGCCCTCTCTCCTGTGGAAGAGGCAGCCAAGAACCATGTACCTTAGGCCTCCCCAGGAGAAAGTGAGAAAATACAGGTCTTAGGACCATCTAGTATCCCTTAAAGAATTTTAACTGTAAAAACATAGCGAAATAGAAACAGTTGATAGTGACAGTGACTACGTGAACTAAATTATGAATATGTTCTATAGAGGAGCGATTCTCAACCTGCATATCAGATATTTATATTACAATTCAAACAGTAGCAAAATTACGGTTACGAGGTAGCAATGAAATAATTTTATGGTTGGGGGGAGGCATCATAGTGTGAGGAACTGTACTAAAGTCAAAGCATTAGGAAGGTTGAGAGCCACTGTTCTAGAGAAAATCTTCTCAACATTTTCCCATTCATGATATTTTTATACCAAGAACAAAGGTACATAGTTATGTAAAATCATTATAAAAATTAAACATTTATTGATCACAAACCAATTATTTCAAACAATTCTTTTATATGCTTATGATTTTACCATTCATTAAAGATAAAAGTGCATGCTAATAAATGTGTCTGTTTTTAAGTAAGAATTACATCTTGGATACTGAAGGACACAGAATCTTCAGTGTTTTTCAGAGTTGACTGACATTAGTTTTTATAATCCTCAGTTCTTGAGAACTATATATTTCACGTAAATATGTAGTACAAAAAAATGGCAGAAGTATATGGAAGGTCATTTCATAAATCGCTAGCAAATTCTATCTTAGTCCAAGCCAAAATTCACTTTTTTTGTTTGTTTGTTTTTCCAGACAGGATTTCTCTGTGTAGTCCTGGCTGTCCTGGAACTCATTCTGTAGACTGGGCTGGCCTTGAACTCAAGGATTCACCTGTCTTCACCTTCGAAGGGCTGGGATTAAAGGCATGCACCACTATGCCTGACTCCAAAATTCACTTAACAAGTTTTTACAAACTTAAGGAAGCAACTCAAGCAACAGCTGTGAAGTCAAACACACTGAACACAGCCTAAAGACGATTTGACACATACATGTCAAGGAAGGGTGGCAGGAAGCGATCTTCTTCTTCTTCTTTTTTTTTTTATTATGGTTCTATAATAGAACATTATATGCACACTAAAAACACTGGTGCTCATAATACACAATGGTCTTAAATCACAGCTGGTGACCATGGGGCAGTATTCAATGGCATTGCATGTCTGATGGCATGCATCCTGCAAAGTGTGCTTCTTGTGTGTTTGAAACCAAGGCTGCAGTGACGTTGGGCATTGCCAGAAGCACCTCAGACTCATTATGTATTTGATTCTGAATTGAATATTTCTGTTTGTTGCCTGTCCGGGAAAAATTTTGCTTTTGCCAATCAGGATCTTCCCATTCAGTTACGTGGCCTCTATCTGGGTTTGTAATCCACAGTTTAAACTGTGTTCTAGACACATCTCTTATAAACGCATTGATATATTTGCTTCCATAGGTGAACGATTGCAAGTTATAATGCTAAAATACATTTCCTCCATATCCAAGACCCTCTTGGGGTAGAATATTTCCTAGCATTCTGATCACAGGGCCAAGTACCATGACAGTTTGGTCCCCTCCCTCCCAAAACCTGATTCCTGAAGAACGTAGGTCTGTAACCTTTCTCTCACAAGCTGAGCACTCACAGATAGGTGCCCGTACTTGGGGTAGCGCCCTTGGGGTAGAGAGCATGCGCACTCGGGTTATCAATGGACCCAGCACATGGAGGGCCTTAGCTATTGCTTCCGCAATTGCTAAACCCTTCTGAACGACCTTCACGTAAACTCCTGGAATCATTATACCTGAGCTGAGCTTGAAGCTACTGTAACTAACTCTGGAATTTAAGGTTTACTATCAACTGAATAGTGGAGTGAATCCACTGTTTTATCTGCAACATTCCAGATGAGCATCTCGTGAATTACTACATAATATAAGCTGTTTAGTTAGGGTTGACTTTATGTTTCTGACCATGGCAAGTGATGAAGTAGAATTCTACTGATTGGTCCCCACGAGAATCGTCATATTCAGAATTTTGAGCTGAAAGTGCTGCACTTCGGAAATAGCTCATGAGATTGAGTTAAGGTTTTGCGTTAGGATGCACAGTGTGGAGTCGAGTGTGGTGTACTTTGGTTAGTGGCTTTGAACAGGATGCTTAGATAACCACAGTGCTTAAGATAAGGGAATATTCTTCTGGCCTGATTGCCAGATTATTGTCATAGAAGGGGTCAGGCTGAAATTAATGACACGTGACTGTAGAACTCCAATTAGAGGTATCTTCAAAGGATTACGCTAGACTCAGTAAGGAGAGCAAGAGAAAATAAACCTTGGGCAAATTATATATTGAAGGAAAAGATATGAAACAAGGCAACCACAGGATATTGGCATTGATTAAATTCTTAGGAAGTGAGTTTTATTCTACTTAACATAAATTTATTGAAAAGGAGAGGGCCGGTCAATGACCTAGAAGGAATGTAAAGTTGTGAGCTTGGGGACCATTGTCCCTGTTGTGTACCACACCTATAACTTAGTTATAACAAGTTCTAGGACCCTTATTTCTCTTTAGGAAAGAGGCCAGAGATTGTATTTCCCCAAAGTACAGCAACAGCAAACAACTGAACTGTGCTAATCAAGTACATTAGCGGTTCGCTTCCTTCACCTGTAAGATAAGAATGACGTCACACAATCCACAAACTCTAGGAGATAAGGGCAGTACAAGTGACTCGCTCAAGGTCATACAGCCAGTCAAGGCCTGGCTCCCGCACCCTGGCCCTGAAGCCTGCGCATGTGCTAGCACTCAGCCCACTCACTGGAAACTTCTCAGCTCCTCTCTCTCCCTGCACCACCCTTGCCTCTGGTCAAACAAGGATCTTCCTGAACTTCTAACTTTGTTCCTGTTAATCTCCACTCCTTGTCAAAAAGATCAGAGACTACAGGAAGGAAAGGAGCCGTACCTTCAGTGACAAGATGAGTATCTTGTGAGTTACTACATATTAACCCTGGCAAAGACGTATTTATCAGTGCAACAGCTAATCTTCTTTGTGGAAAGCCTTTATTACAAGCAGCGGTTAAGGTAATTCTAGGAGCATTTACTCCGAGCAGTCAGAGAGGGAACAGCTAGCTATCGTGGATACAAATACTCACTTAAAAAAAAAAACAAACCCACATTGTATGACGTAAAAATATGAACAATTTCAGGTAATTCACTTCTGAAATCCACCCACCACGTAGCCACTCAAGCGCGCCCCTTTTCCATAGCCGCCACAAGGAGGCAGTCGCGGCCGCAGAGTCGGCTCCGGCTCGGCCATCCCTTGCTCTTGTCTGGCACGCGGCACTCGGTAATGGATTAGCAATGCTGGGGACGTGGGAGGCCCGGGCCCCGCCCCCGGCCGGCGGCGGCGGCTCGGAGCGGCAGTCGCTGCTGCAAGCAGAGCAGATCTGCACGGAGAAGACGAGCGGAGCTAGAAGAGGACGGTGCGCTGCTCTCCAGGCTCCCTTCGGCGCTCAGTGGCGCGGGTACTGACCGCGGGGCCCTCGGACCGGCCCGGGCTCGGGGCGCCGGGCTCGGGACCATGGCGCTGCGCGCCCGGGCGCTCTACGACTTTAGGTCTGAGAACCCCGGTGAGATCTCACTGCGGGAGCACGAGGTATTGAGCTTGTGCAGCGAGCAGGACATCGAGGGCTGGCTCGAAGGGATCAACAGCCGCGGCGACCGCGGTCTCTTCCCGGCCTCGTACGTACAGGTGATCCGTGCGCCCGAGCCTGGCCCTCCGGCCGACGGCGGATCCGGAGCTCCGGCCCGCTACGCCAACGTGCCGCCGGGCGGCTTCGAGCCTTTGCCAGCCGCGCCGCCCGCCGCCTTCCAGCCGCTGCTGCAGCCGCAGGCGTCGCCGAGTTCCTTCCAGCCGCCGGGTGCTGGCTTTCCTTACGGCGGGGGCGCCCTACAGCCTTCGCCCCAACAGCTTTACGGTGGTTACCAGGCCAGCCTGGGCAGCGACGATGACTGGGACGACGAGTGGGACGACAGCTCCACGGTGGCCGACGAGCCAGGCGCGCTGGGCAGCGGCGCGTACCCGGACCTCGACGGCTCGTCGTCGGCGGGCGGCGGCGCTGCCGGCCGCTACCGCCTGTCCACACGCTCGGACCTGTCGCTGGGCTCCCGCGGTGTCTCGGCGCCCCCGCCGCATCAAGCGTCTGGAGCCAAGAGCTCTGCCACGGTGAGCCGCAACCTCAATCGCTTCTCCACCTTCGTCAAGTCGGGCGGGGAGGCCTTCGTGCTGGGAGAGGCGTCGGGCTTCGTGAAGGATGGGGACAAGCTGTGCGTGGTGCTGGGGCCCTATGGCCCCGAGTGGCAGGAAAACCCCTATCCCTTCCAGTGCACCATTGACGACCCCACCAAGCAGACCAAGTTCAAGGGCATGAAGAGCTACATCTCTTACAAGCTGGTGCCTACGCATACCCAGGTGCCCGTGCACAGGCGCTATAAGCACTTCGACTGGTTGTATGCGCGCCTGGCCGAGAAATTCCCGGTCATCTCGGTGCCCCATCTGCCCGAGAAGCAGGCCACTGGGCGCTTCGAGGAGGACTTCATCTCCAAGCGCAGGAAGGGTCTGATCTGGTGGATGAACCACATGGCCAGCCACCCGGTGCTGGCGCAGTGCGACGTCTTCCAGCATTTCCTGACCTGCCCCAGCAGCACTGACGAGAAGGCCTGGAAACAGGGTAAGCGGAAGGCTGAGAAGGATGAGATGGTGGGCGCCAACTTCTTCCTCACTCTGAGCACACCACCTGCCGCCGCCCTGGACCTGCAGGAGGTGGAGAGCAAGATCGATGGCTTCAAATGCTTCACCAAGAAGATGGATGACAGCGCGTTGCAGCTCAACCACACTGCCAACGAGTTTGCGCGCAAGCAGGTGACTGGCTTCAAAAAGGAGTATCAGAAGGTGGGCCAGTCCTTCCGGGGCCTTAGCCAAGCCTTTGAGTTGGATCAGCAGGCCTTCTCCGTGGGTCTGAATCAGGCCATCGCCTTTACTGGAGACGCCTATGATGCCATCGGCGAACTCTTCGCTGAGCAGCCCAGGCAGGACCTGGACCCAGTCATGGACCTGTTAGCACTGTATCAGGGGCACCTGGCCAACTTCCCAGACATCATCCATGTCCAGAAAGGTAAAGCCTGGCCTGTAGGGCAAGTGGCACGGGATGTTTTGTCAAGGTTGTTAGTGCTGATTTTGATAGGCAGACCCCTCTCTGGTTTCAGGCTCCTGGTCTTTCTCCACGTATGGGGATCCTTAGGACTGTGGACTGTTGGGACTTTGTTACAGAGTTTTGTTAAGTTGCTCCTTCTAGTCAGGGACTACAACTCTTCAGAGTGCTAGTGTTTCAGACCGTGTTGTCGTTTCAGAGTTTGAATAGGCAGGGAAATCAGCTGCTCCGATCTGTAAGCCTGTGGCCTGGGCAGAATTAGCAGGGGATCCATGCCTTGGCTAGGCCTCCCTTTGAACAGGGCAGGGCTGGCAGAGATAGGAGGAACAAAAGGAAGAGTGGACGCCTGGGACTAAAGGTAAGTCAGGCTTTCCCCTCAGTTTAGGCTGTGGCAGGGGAGTTTGGCCAACCTTGTTTGCAATGCTGGGGCAGCACCAGAACTTCCTGTGTCAGCTTGCAAATCGGCCTGAAGGCTCTTGACGTTGGGGAACTCCGCTCTCCTTTCTCTGGGTTTGGGGTTTATTAACCAGCTGACATTTGGACCGTTCTTTAGGAAAAATGATGTGGGAGGCTAGCTGGGGTGAAAAAGGAATGTTGTGTCTGAGAGCACGAATTTGCTGTCGCAGCCTCACGTCAGAGTGCTCCGAGTTGTTTGCTGTGTTGCTGGCTCTTGTTAAAGCACTGACTTTGTAAATGATTTTTTTTTTTTTTTTTAACTACGGCAGTCCTGCCTGGCTGACCTGAGGCTCCTCACAAGCTGGCTTTCTGATATAATGGCTCCATTGATTGAGAGAGAGATGGGAGGTGTTGCTATTAAGATCATGGCCTTGCCTCCAGAGGTCCAGTGTGGGGGAGGTGGCAGTCACCTACTGTAGCATCCTGGGCTGGTAGAAGGCTGCATGGATAACCAGATCTGGCCTTGAGTGGGGGTGCTCACTTCTCTGCCACGTGGGACAGAGCATTTGTGAACATACCTGATCTTTGGCTTTTTCTTTCTTATATTTAACTAAGTTCTTTCTCAATTGTCTTTCTGGCTCTCTGGGAGCAAACAGAACAAATCTGTGTCAAGCCTTCAGCCATTTGGAAATAGCAGTCTCCTTGCTATCTCCTTCCTCTCTGCCCTTTTCCTTCCCCTTCTCAGTGTGACAAGGCCTCAGACTCTTAAATAGGGTGGGGGGATGGGAGAAGTTCAAAGGTCTTGAGTCCATTCTTGCTGCTCCCAACTAGTTTCCTAGAGGATAACAACTTTCTTGACAATTCGCAATGCACAAACACAGTCTAAGGGTGAGTTAGCTCCTTGAGCAATCATACTGCTGCTGGCCTGTGTTTAGCCCTCATCTGCATTCTTTATGTCTTTAAGTTCTTATGAATCCTTACCTTCTGGGCCACTGCTAGTGACAGTGACATTTTGAGTCTTTAAAGCAAGACGTTACCATTTAAATTCCATTGTATTACTTCAGTCAGGTCACATGCTGGCTGCCTACTTAGGAATTTCCCTGAGTCTATACCGATCGCGTTGGCAGTCACTGAAGGAGGGCAGAACAAGCACAGACACCCGTGGGGGCGGGCAGGTGTCTGCTCCACCTCTGTGTGGGCTCATTCGTGGGTTGTACTGTCAATCAGGCCTTTGGCGTACCCTGCTGTGGAAGCTGTGTATTGGAAAAGCTGTGTTTGTCCTAAGGGCTGCTTGAATGGCGGTGGTTCTTTTAGTCTAGTCAGCCATTGAACTTTTTTTTTTCCCTGAATCCTAAAACTTGGATTGTCTCCTGTTGCTTAGGCTCTGGAAGTCCTTCCTTTTCAAAACTAGTGCCATTTTATGTGGTTTAAACAGTTGTAGAGATTAAACATGTGTAGGCATTGGTCATGAATCTTGTTTCTGCCGTCACCTTGGCGTGTATATGTACAGGAGCCTGAGTCTAGAGGACTTTAGTCCTGTGCATACGGCGTTTGCTGACGAGCTGTATCTGTTAAGGATTGGAAGTACAAATGAGATTAATATTCCGCACCAGCCTGGGGGGAGCTTTATCGAGCACGCTTGGGGACTTGGCGATTCTCCTCAACCGCATAGTTGCTGTAGTGTGGGAATGACTCTTTTTCAACCTGAGCACTTGGGAGTTTGTTTACTGCTTGAGGGTTTTTTTTTTCCATCCAAGGTCTCAAAGTATAATCACATCAAAGGGCTCCACTGACTTTTGAGACTAGCAACAGAAAAAAAAAGAACAGACAGATAAGAAGAACCTAACGTGTCTTTTCAGTATTCTGTTGTAGGTGATCCAAAGTTTATATTTACGCTTAGGAAGAAATCTTATAGTTAAGAAATTCAAAACATCTGTCTTTCCCCCCACCCTATCCCTTCTCATTGTTTAAGGAAAAGGCAGTGCTACATTTTGCTTACATGGTAAATTCAGTTAAACCTGACAAGAACTTCAGTTCCTCACACTAATGGTTGTCAAGCAACAAGTGCTTAAGTGAGTTGTGACCAGAAGGTTGGGCAGGAAATGCAGGCATTTCCACCATTGTTCAGAGCTCCACTGAACCGCACTGCCCGGTGGGCTGGGGCTTCAGCAACCCCTTTCCTAAGATTCTCCGGCAAATTCGAAATCTTTCGGTGTGTTTTCGTGGTAGTTTTCTTTTTATTTGGTAATTCTGTGGCAACACTTAACTTCCCTTGTGAGTGTAATGGATACAGCCTGGGAGGGGAAACAGGTTCTTCTGGATCTCTGTCTCAGTCTTCCCAGCCCTTCACCCTGGGAGCCTCCTGTCTCAGAACACAACACAACACTGGCCTCCTTTGGGACTCTGAGCCATCCTGGTAGGGACCCCCACTGCAGAATGAGAGTGAGTTCTCTTAAATATGGCGGGTCGACTTTTGCTTAGGCTAATAAAGGTCTTGGTTTAGTGCTTTGAGCAAAGGGGAAGAGAGCCATATGGTTCCATCAGCTAAATGATAACTCCAGAGTTGTGTTTTTAAATCAGCTAATGGGCTCTTAGCTAAATAGACCTGCTTAGTTTAATGGGGTGGAGTGGAGGCTGGAGGGGGTTGCTGTAGTCTATAGTAATGCTGGATGGAAATTTAGAATACGCTCAGGTTGCAGTCATGGTTGTTCTTGACTTAACAGGAGTCCTCTCAGCTCTGTAGACGGTCTGTAGGCAGTCTGTGTGCTCAGCTCTGTCACTGACCTGGAAACCCCGTGGCTCTGATGTTGCTTCCCTCAGTGGCAGCGTTTTATTTGCTCTCTGTTTACCATTCCTGCCCGCAGTGTGCTTTGATACTGCTGAAGCCCAGTGACTTTGAGGCAGTATGTGGGACAGTGTTTATTATGGGAGTTACAGCACATTCTGTTTGCTCTCCAAAGATACAATGAGCTTCTCTGGTTAAGGAAAGCCACATCTGCATGGCAGCAACCCATGGTTTAAAAGTTTTACATTTATCTCTTGAGTATCACAGTAGGGAACAACCATAACAGTAAAATGCAGAGACCTCTGGTTTTCATCTTCGCTTATAAATATGAACTGCAGGCCTGGAGAGAGCCATGGAGAGCAGTTTCTTTATTCCAAAGAAAAAGGCATCAGGCCATGATGAAAGATAACCAATTTGAAGGAGAATCCTAGGAAAGGGCTCTCCAGAGCCACAGCAGTGCTGCTCAGTGGAACTTTCAACAGTGACAGATGCCTGTCGGTGAGACCTCCTTTGTGCCCTGCGAAGCAGGGCTAGAAAGAGAGGGTCCCATTTTCACACTCTTCACTTGATGCTGCAAACTCTTATTTCTTTGCTCTCTAAACGTTCCAGATGGCACTGCCTTTTCAACCAAAAACTAGCGCCAAGACCTGAGGCTTGGTGGCAAGAAGCTGGCCTGCCCGTCCTGCTGGGTAGGATTTCACCACTGTACTGCCTTTCACCCACCTGAGGAGGGTTGGTCCTGTGGCCCTCAGACATTAATTAAAGATAGCCAGCATCCAGGCAGGGCAGGCAAGGTGAGGCCTTGGTGCCCCAGCTTTCATTCAGTGCCCCTGTCTCCTGTGCTAAAAATAGCCTGAAGAAGGTGGTGCTGAGAATACAGAGAAAGGGCAACAGAGGCGGGCTGTTTGCAAGCTCATCCTTTTGAAACCCCTGGGCCCAAAACTGAGGCCGGTCCTTCTTTAAGTTTAACTATTTTATCTTGATTGGATCATTTCTCCCTTCTCCTACCTCCCTCTCACTGTTGACTTCATTTCTAGATGTGACCTTTGTCCCAGTTTGTCATTTTGTCATTTTAGCAGAACTAAGGTAACCTTTGGTTTTTGAAGTAGAGGAATCAGTTGCTTGGTTAAAGCTTAGATGTGACTGGCCAAGGACCACTCCTACTCCTGATCCTGTCTGTCCTGCCCAGCTGCTGGATGGATGCCTCTCCATTCGCCCGGCAATGGTTTCTAAACTTTGAACCCTGCAGTCCTGTCTGTCCCAATGGGAAGCCAATCACAGCTGAACTGAGAGGAGGCAGGGGACTTTCATTCCTTGCCAGTTCCATCAGGAACTCTCGGCACCTTTGGGTTCCATGGGACTTCCCTTCTTGATGGGAAATGACACCCTGTCAGGTCACCTTAGGGTTTCCAAGCACAAGAAATTCTGTGATTCACTAGGAAAGAAGAAATTTTCTTTAAACTTAGGTTCCTCTTTGCCAGCTATATAAAAATCTTGCTGTATTATTTAAAACATTATAATGTTTTAAAAACAGAGTTAACGATTAAGTCAGATTGTATCATTTCTGAAGCCCATAATACATGATTGTCACCAGTAAAGTGGTCCAGTAGCTGAGCTGTGTTTAATGGGATTGTATCCAGAAGACAGACTGGACCACCTGGCAGCTGATGTTTAGATAGCACAGACTAGATTTTACTGAAGGCACAGACAGCACTCTGATCCTCAGTGAGTTCTGGATGACTGATACAGGGTGAGCATCCTGCTGTGGCAATGTGGTGGTGAG